GGACGAGTCATTACTCGGGTACCCGGTCTCTAAATTACAGTTTAGGGGGACCTGCAGGAAACGGGAAAAAACCCCGTAGGACTGCGCCAACTTCTGACCTTGGGGAGCGCCATGGACCGACCCATACTACAAAAGTGGACCCAGAAAGACATTGATCTCATCTTGAGCAAGCCCTTGAGGTTATTTATGAGGCCTGATTTTAAAGTAGTGGCTGCCAGGGAAGTGAAAAAGGAGCTCATCCAAGCTATGAGACAGAAACACAGTAGCAGGAATGCTGTTTATGACGTTATAAATCAACGTGAGGCTTGTGATGGGGAATAGGAAGAGAGCGAGTTGGGAATCGAAACAAGGAAACAAAGTCAAAGAGAAAAAATGAATTTCATCCTCCCTTTCCACCCTCCACGCCCCACTGCACAATTCTTTCCTTCCTGTGGGAAGCCAGGATTGTAGTGCGAGTGCGCATACCCCATCCTGGGTCGGGTCTGCCAGAGTCCTCCCAAGTTTACTCGACGATCATTAAAAGAATACATGTAAATAAACAACTTAGAAGATTTATGGGACAAGCTTCAATTTTATAGGACTGTATTTATAGAGCTAGCGCCAGCTTACTTATAAGTAGATTAATGGGAAACTAAAATTAATGGACTTGCGAGCTGCGCGTTTAATTTCTGAGGCTTCAACATGACAGACGACCGCCCGACTGCAAAGTCTAACCCTGAAAGGCAGCTTAAGTTTGGGAGCTCTAAGAGTCCTTCAGTCCCACAAGCCCAGCAACTCCCCTTGGCCCCATGAGAAGAATTCACGGAAGAGTTGTTTGCAGATGAAGAAAAAAGGAGGCCCCATTTTAATTTTCAGAAGTTTTCCTTCTCTATTCTTAATTAAGTGCTTGCTAGCCAGTGGTGGATTTATGAGGTTTGCACCTGCTAGTGATCTCTAGGTACACAGGAGAGGCAGTGTGCACTCCAGGGTCACCTCCGGTCTCTGTGCTGGGATGGTCAAAGGCCTAACCAGTACCTATGGTGCTTTCCTTACTCCCTCCCATTGCCTTCTAACACAGTGACCACAGGATTGGGCAGCTGTGATGGGCAGTCCAGGGCATTTAATCAGGCAAGGATGTCTTTAACTCCAGCCCTTTTCCTTTTCCTTTCCATTTCTTCCTTCAAAGTTGTTCATTTCTTTTCCTACAGTTATAGCCCCTCCAGACCTGGAGCTTTACCTGTGAAAGTGATTGCCTCCTTATCAAAAGGTGATGGGAAAGTGTGGTAGTATAGAGTTTACCTGTGGGATAATAGGTTAGTTGTCTGTTTATCCAGGATTAGCTGGCATTCACCTTCTGTAGGAAAAGTTACAGCATCACAACATATGAAAACTACCCTCAACTCTTTATTTAAGCCCAGTGTTAGCCAGCCCCACACTCTGTAAAGCAAATGAAAAGGAAACTCAATGTTAACACAACTGACCAAGAGACTAAGGCATATTAAGATTGCTTTCAAGCTGTTTGGACTGCACAGGCTCAAAAGGACACTCTCTTTTGCTTTGCTTGCATCCTTGCTTCTTTCCATTTTCCTTCCCCCTTTATTTATTATCCATTGTTTACAGTTCTAGCACACACACACACACACACACACACACACTTTAATAAGAAGGGGAAACACTCACATAAAGCAAATTGCATCATCCCTTCTCTTTTCCCCATAGAGAAGTCCAAATGGAAAGGATTGACTTGAAAAACAGAAAATTTCAATGGAAGGCATACTGTTAATTAGTTGAGCACAAGATCTATGTTAAGCACCCTTGTCTAATCTGAGATCAAATGTAATATTCCTCTGTAGTATATACCCTTTGCTGCCTCTACTTTTTATAATTAAGCAAGACAATAATGTGCATGAAAGAACCTTAAGAGAGTAACGTTTTATAGATGAAGGCTGTGATGGCCCCAAAGAAACAGAGGCATACACAAACTATAACATCTTGGATGGCTTTACTTTCCTGGCCTGAGGGAAGATACCCCAACCCTGGGATAAAACACAGATTGAGATGTTTAGTCACTGTAGCTTATCAGGGCTATGTGAAAGCCCATTAACCCAAGTAAGAAAAGCTGACTTCTTCTAGGCAGCCTAAGATAAGAGATAGCCTCCCAAGTCTTGTATAACTCTCTCCTCCTCTTAGCCAAGGGAACTTTTTCATCTTTTATTTGTAGAGAACCTTGTACTGCTGATGAAGTTAGAGTGGGATTCAGTGGACCACTTAACATCTCCAGAGCCCACTCACACCCCTGCAGATCTGTGCACCAAAGCCCTGTGTGTACACCTTGCTGGTCCACTACCCACTGAAACATCTTTGACCTGAACTCAGAATCCTTCGGTCACCTGAGAAGTAAATGTAACACCTTTTTTTAAAGGGCAAAATAAACCAAAAGATGCAGTTAACATGAACTTTTATTACAAATATTATTGGGACTAGTATCCATTTGAAATTTTAAGAAACCCTCCTACTGAAAACAAGTGTTCATTTTTCTGATAAGCAAAATTTATTATATTTCTGTTGTAACAAAACACTGTACGTTTATGTACTTCAGTGAGGGGGCAAAAAGAAAAAAGGGCTTTTTTTTGTTTTTTTTTTTGCTATGTCTCTTTTCATCTGTAGCATGAAACAATATCCATATTTAAGAAACCGAATATGAAAACACAAAAAACACAACAATCTTTTTATTTATGTAAATCAGATCAACACTGGACAATAAACCAATTTCTACCCAATACCATAACAGCTTGTCTATAAAGAACAGAAAAATTCATATAGGATTCTACCTAGGGTCAAGCGGTTTTTTTTTTTAAACCACCCATTCACAGAGGTATAGATTCACAGATAAATAATCCCAAACTACTTGCTCATCATATTTACACATTCCCATTAAATTAAGCATAAATAAATATATACAAACTTAATATGGATACCCTCTAGAACCCTTCTCAGGAAGAGTCTATGGATTGATATTACTTGACTGGGGGGCAAAAGCATTATTAGTGAATTAGAGACCAACTCAGAAGAGGAGTCGATTTTAGCATTTAAAGAAAGAATTGTGCTCACTTTTGTTTTTAAAGAAAACAAATGAATTTCCAATACTTTTGCCAATAATTTAATATACATCAACAAAGGAGGAGAAATGCTGTTGGAGCTCTTGAAGCAATGTCAGATGTTTAAAGAACAGGATATCAGGTGTGATGATAAATTTTCTATAAACATTCTAACTAGGAACACCTTGTACCCAAGGAACAGTTGTAGATAAGTTTGGAGTTTCGAGTTTTCCATTCAACCAAAGTTTTCATAGGATATGAAATAATTGCTTAAGAGAAAGTGGTTTCCTTGGACAATGAAAACAAAAGCCGGGTCTTTGACAGGGTCTTTGACAGTTTCTTGGGTTCTTTCTGTGGAGGTGGAGAAAGCTAGGGTGAGAAGTTCTGGTAGATGGAGACAAAATGCAAGGTAATTCAGAGAAGATGGGAAATGAAAGTTATTTCCTAGTTGGGATAGAAATTAAAGGTCCCTAGTGATGGACTCTGAACCTTTTGCTGGCTCTCAGAGACCCAGAATTGGTGTAAGAGAAGGCAGGGTTGGGCACAGAATGGTCTGGAAACAATCAGAGCCTGAAAAGGAACTTGCCAAGTGTGAGGACTGCACTGCCACATCTTTACTCCTTTAAGTCTTTATCTATTTTAGTTGGGGACTTAACATTTGGTAGGAGCGTGCATGGGGCCTGGACAAAATGTATAAGGAGTGCAGGATAAAAGAGAGAAAGAGCTGCAACTCACCTGCTTGCTTTGAAAGCAAAGCTCAGCTCAATCTGTCTTTCCTTAACCGTTTCCTTTGACTTAAAAGGCAAACTCTTGCGTTAATCCTATTGTTTATTAATTTATAAGACCAAGGAAACCGAATCTTTTAATAAGTCAATTATCGGATAAACATAACACGCCTTGCTAACGAAAGCAAGGAGGTGGGAGTCCTAAGTAAAAGAGAAAGGGAGGTAAAGAAAGTAGAAGACCATAGACTTATACCCGGCAGAGGAGAGGAGGGGAGTGGCAGGCTAAGTGGAGTGGAGCTAATGGGTCACCTGAGCAACGCAGAAAAGATAGGGAAGGACAAGAAAGGAGCCTGCTTAGCCTTATAAGGCAATTCTCATCCTACCTCTACACTCCTTAGGAGCGTGAGAGTAGGGGCAATTTCCTTCCTGGCAGAATAAAGTGAGCTTCTAATTCCGTGAACTTTTTCCGAGCCACAGCGTGTCTGGAAGCAGAGCCTGGAGTAACCGCTAGCTAGTGGCAAACCGGCTTACTACAGTGCTTACAACAGGACCCCTCCCCACGGGTACCCCGCGGGACACCGCCCCTTTACCTATTCAAGAACTGGGGCTTTTTCGATTGCTTTAGCACTTAGGGTGAAACCCAGAGCAGGAAGGGCCTCACGGCTCGCGACCCCAGCAGCGGCTGATTCTATGTCCTCAACACCGCTGGGCCGGAGGACCTGCACAGTAAGAGCAAGGCGCATCCATCGCGTCTCTCGCAGTCACACGCGTGGGGCGCGTTGCCCTGCAAGGAAAGGAGACGATGGTTTTCAGTGTGGTTTCTGTCGGCCTTGTGCAACCCGAACATACCTAACACAAATGTCCAGGCCCTCGGACAAAGGTGCAAGCTTCTAAACTGGGGAGAGATGAGCATCTATACCTCACGTAATGTCTTTTCTTGGCCTCTGTTTTCCTCTCAACACGTCTAGGGTTGCATCCTGCAAACCCACAGGAGTCAGAAACAGCTAGGGATAGGACATGAGTGTTGTATGACTTCAGCGGTTGCTTAGAACCTTCAGTGACTTAAAATCAATTCTATAGTATATCCTCTCCTACCAAATAAAAACCTCTTGGGGCTTCCAGGTCTCTAAAACCTACACACACACACACACACACACACACACACACACACACACACATTCACTCTAAGGTGGTTTGGAGAAGGGTTGCAAAAAATCTGTGAATCCAGGCCATTTGTGTGGGCCTATCTGCCAATCATGGAGCACATCTGAATCTTTATCCCAATGGATTTTGCAAAGACTCTGTCTATGTTGTTGAAAAGAGACACTGTACCTATACTAAAAGGATTTATTTCACACACCAAAAACCTTGAAGGATCTCACTGCTCTTGCAAAGGTACAACCATGGATTCCAGATTTTCTTGCATGCTAACGTTAAGATGGAGTACAAGTAAAAAGTCTGGGAGAAGTGAGAGTTATTAAATACATGGGATTTCATCCACTGGGAATATTCTCAGTGTAGCCAGAGAATTCAAAGCTGAAATACACACATCTTTTCACTTTTCGGATTTTTAAAAACTTTTATGTTAAAACAAGTGTATGTCTGGGAAGGTGAAAGGCTTCATTTATAAAAACAGAGCCATGGTACCTTGTAGATCACCTTCCCCAAAAACATCTGTAAAGCTGTTTCTTTTTCCCATTAAAACAGCAATCACAAAAGGCCTAGAGAAACGGAATCCATTTTCAGTGAGGACAATTCTGTTAGAATACAAGGTTCCAAGAACCCTCATTCTTCTCTCTTAAAATCCACTTTGCAGAGCCCCACCCCTGCCCAAATTCCCACCTTAAGGTACATTGGCAAGAAGATTCAAAGCTGCTCCCATCATACAGGCCACTTTTTAAATTATTCCCTTTGAGCTTCTTTAAAGAAGTGTACCTGCTGAATTCTGAAATACAGGCTTTGATTTTTAAAGATCGGATTTTTTTTTTTCTCAGTACCTTATAGATTGTGTAGGAAGCCCAAGTCTTCTTTGAAGAAGCTCATAAACCATGCGGGTAAAGCTTTGGGAAACAGAAGAGAATGAAATGGTACATACCCCTCCGAAGGAATTACATACTAATCAACGTATTCATGGGTTTTTTTTTTTTGATTTTTTTTGTTTTGGTTTTTACTATATTTCTTAAAATTGATAGATGACACACATAGAATAACAAATGCAAGATTCTCTGTGAGCAGGTGCTGGCAAGTCTGAGAACTAGGAACATTTCTGAAAGGAACCGATGATGAATCAACTTATTGGTCTGGGTTTTCCTCTGCCGCCCGAAGCCTCAGCTCTTTGGCCCGCATCAAAAGCTGCAGCCTCCGCCCGCTTCTCCGCAAGTCCCCCGCCCCCCCAACCCCAACTCCCGCCCTTGGCCTCCCTAATTATTATTACACATCGCCGGGGAGTTGGGCCCTAGTGACTTAGGAACTCTAGGCGAGGCCGAGATAGCAGAGGAACAAAAGCAACGTAAAAGAGGTAATCACACTCATTTTCATCTCGGCAGATTCCCAGAACAGTGAGAAAAAGGGGCAAAGGCGGGGCAGCCGGGAGAGGGGTGAGGGGAGATGGAGGGCGGGGACTGCGAGCTTCCTTAAAAAAAATATTAAAAATTATAAAGTTCGTGCGTCTCAGTCAACCAGCTCTCAAAGCACCAACAGCAACGTTTCTCCAAATTTCTTCCAATAAGTTAGCATTTTTCTCATGTTTAGTCTCATGTTTATTTTCCAAAAGGGGAAATTCATAGTTTTCTTTTATTATCAGTATTACTAAGCTCGAAAGAACCGAAGTGGAAAATCCGGACGGTTGTCTCCAAGTAAATCTTGAAACAGACACTGAGAAACGATATTGTTGCTCCGTGGTATGCCTCAGTTTTGTTTTTTTTTTTAAGTTATTTAGCCTTTTTTTAAAATTTTGATTGTATGTGTATTCTACCTAATATAATTCTTCCAAAGCCAATCCAATATGTTAAAGCTAAAATTATTTTTTTTTCTGTTTTCCTTTTGTATTTAAAACATTTTCCTTCTTTATTTATTTATTTATTTATTTATTTTCATTTCCTGTGTTTCTCCTCCTTGTCGCCAGTTTTACTACCTGGGCCTTCCCCAGACGTGTGCCTGTTACTGGTGGTGTTGTTCAAGAACATCTTGTCCATGCCTTTGAGCGCCTCGGTGAGATAGTTCTGCAGGGCGGTGAGCGCAGCGCAAATGGCCGGGGCACCGAAGCCGTGCGTGATGAGGCTGAAGTGCGTGAGGCAACTCTGGATGCCGGGCTCCAAGATGGGGCTGGGCCGGCTGTTCCCGATCGGTGTCCGGTCCTGCGCCAGCAGATCGGTAAATTCTTTACAAAGTTGCCTGGAAAGGGGTGAGGGAGGAACAGAAAATCACCCAGTGGTCACTGACATTAGAAAGGAGACGCGCGCACACACACACAAGCCCAGAGGCGCGCGGTCAGTGGAGAGCGATGCTCACATAGGCGTTTCCGCTCTGTTTATTCACCCAGCGCACTCCCTCAGCTAGCAGCTGTGACAGGAAGGGAAGGGGCTAGGGGAGGAATGCACTCCTCCCACCCCCCCAACCCCCAACCCTCCAACCCCGCCCTTTCAGTTTTCCCCTATACTGGAACCACACCACGTGCATTATGCTTTAGGAAATTCGCTAGACGTTTTAGGATTTGATTTTGAATAATCAATAATTTATAGCTCCTACCTGGTACTTCTTTTTAACACACTCCCCTCCCCTGCCTTCCCAACCTCTAGATCCAGAACCCAAAAGAAAAAGAAAAAGAAAAAAAAAAAAAATCCTGAAAGATTTAAGCCCCTTGGCCACAGGCCTGTCCCTGGCACAGAAGCAGATTGCTGGAGCCTTGCATGGCCCAGGGCGAAGAGCTGTTTATTGTAAGAGAATGCTGATTCCTTCAAAGCAAAAACCTGTTTACCTGCAACATTTTGAAAGAGAGATATATCTTTTTCCTTCTCTAAAAATAATTAATAAAAAACCTTTGTCTCCCTCCCCCTTTTTGCAAATGTGAGCTACTAAAAATCTTTGTGTAACAGGATTGTTGTCAATATAAAAGTATTTCCACATAGCTTAAATAAAAACTAAAGGTAGACCATTAAAACACTAGGGAGAATGGATTTTTATTGTTGAAGGTTCTTTTTTTTTTTTTTTTTTCCCTCAAGGCACCTACAATTTAGAGAACTCTTCTTGCCTCAGGAATCTTGTGTGCCTAACTATGGATTGAACTTGTTTGAGAAATTTTTAATATAAGAAATGGATGGGAGGGATTTAGCCCTGAAGGTCAAACGCCTTGGCTCTGCCAGCAGGCAGAAGCATAGCATCCTAGAGACCGCCATAGCATCCCAGAGACCACCATAGCATCCCAGAGACCACCACAGCATCCCAGAGTCCACCATAGCATCCTGGAGACCATCATAGCCTCCCAGAGTCCACCATAGCACCCCAGAGTCCACCATAGCATCCAAAAGTCCACCATGGCATCCTAGAGTCCACCATAGCATCCCAGAGATTGGCGCGTTTCTCCTGCCTTGCTGCCTCCACCCAGCCTGTTCTGCTATGGGCTGTCAAGAGAAGCAAACCTATAGAATCCTGGTTCTGGACACCCATAGGATGGCTGGAAAGGCCCAGCAACCAACACCTGGCCTGACCATCAGGTAAACAAGGCAGACTTCTGGGCCTTCTTTCCCAATGTGCTACTTTGATCAGGGGTAGTAATTAAACCAAATGGAGACTCTCCTTCCCCACTCATTGACAGCAGCCGAAAGATTGTCATTTTCAAGGCTGGTGGACAAAAAATAGGTCCCCCCTTCATATCCTCTCATGTCTCCATTTAAAACATATCCATGCATCCTCACAGAGGAAGAATTAGGTAATTATGCTCACCTAATAGGGTGGTTCTTAGGCCACAGTGACCTCAGATTCTCATTGCTGTTCAAATACACATCACCAGGCTCCAATTCTTCCCTAGCCCAATTCTAATTTGAAGGGTTTGGAATCCAGACATGAATATATTGGAAAACTTCCCCAGATGATTCCAATAGGTTAAAAAGCAGCTGGCCTTAAAAGTCCTAAGCTTTCAAGAGATGGACAGTCAGAAATTGTCCCTTAAAAAATGTGAAGAACTGGTGGGATCTTGTCATCTGCTTTAAACACATGATTATATTTTCATTTCCCCTTAAATTTCTCTGCTTCATTTATAAAGTACAACTGGCCCCTACCACAAGATACAGAACAAGGGGCAAGAGGGCAGCTCACAGACAAAAATCTTTTAACTGCTAGATGGTATACTAGATGAAAATCTTCTAAGCTGAGGGTGGGTGCCAGGTTTTGATCACTGGGAGAGATGGTTAAAGTCTTTCCTTAAGTTTGTACTCATTACCAAAGTGCCAAAAAGGAAATTTTGTGGTGGGGAGAACAAATGCTTAAGAGTCAAGCATTTTAAATCTTCAAAGCCCAAACCAGGATCTGTAAGCAATTAAAGTTCTGGGACATTAATATTTTTTGACCCTGCGGAAAGGGGCAATCAAATTCCAATCACGTCTCCAAAACATCTGGACAAATTTGAGCAAATGATTTTTCAGCCTTCCATATATTTCTTTAAATTACGCTGTCAACGAAACAAACCGCGTCCTGGAGCACTAAATAAATGAGCGCTGCTGTTTAGGCCTTGCCTGTGAGAGGAGACTAACGTGCGGGTGCGCGCAGTGCCGCAGCGCCGCCCACTGCAGGCCTGAGATGGCCATAAAACACCAACAATATGACACGGAAGCCAAAGACAGGAGTAAATCAAATAAATAGAAAACCCACTGTAAAAGTTCAAATGAGCTCTAGACCTAAATTTAGCCAGAGATTTACTATTTTCCCCTCTGGAGTTGTAGTAAATTTTACAAGTCTGTGGAAGATGACAAACAGCAACGCTGTAAACGTTAGAGTAATTAGAGCTGCGTAGATATGGGCACACGTGGCTGACATACAGACACCCTGAGCAAGCACACATGGCTATCTGCCTATGGCAAGGGGGATCCGTTTGAATGAAGCCTCTGCACCTAGGGATTTGGGGGAGAGACAGGGACAAACTCTGCCTGACTTCTCTAGGATTGTGGATGAGAAATGTTAAAAGCCTCATTCTGATTAATTAATGCCAGACTTGGAAACAGAGGAGACTAAGGCAAGTTCATAGCTCCTTAACCCCACACACCTCCATATCACCACTGGGATGGTCCCTGACCTGCTTTGCTATTGCCTATCAATGCACAGAGTTTTTCAACCCCACACCAGAGGGGCTGTGCTGCCCCTACCACACAGTTTCCCAAGTGGAGTTGGCTCCCTGCAGGGAGAGTTGAGAACCTGGAACCAGGGTCTTGAGCACTCACTTGGTGGCCAGCAGCATATTCTTTCTGGAGTGCAGGTCACTGGGGTCCGTGTGCTGCCGATTCAAATACTCAGACACGGCTTTAGCAGGAAACTCTGTTTCACAAATGTATCCAAAATCCCGAGCTAAGTGAACAGCTTCTCCTGTGAAGTAAGCAATGGAGAATCAGTACCCAGCTAATAAACATTTCAGAGCAGAAGCCACACCCTGGTTGTCCGTTATTTGTGGTTAGAGGAGGTCAGATGTGGAGCAAATGGGAAGCCGAGACAGATACCCAAAGTAAAGATGAATATCCAGTTGTAAATAAAGTGAATGGGACAAACCTAACTCTGTCAATCTCTTCCCAGACAGGTTCTAGACAGATCCCCCTGAAGGAATACAGGCCTTCCTACAATGCCTTTCCTTTACTTTGTCTTAAGGGAAAGGAGACTGGTGAGCCACCTTATAACTGAATCTAGACACGTGGAGGAATATACTAGACCCCCTATTCTATTTAAAGCATCAGTTTCAACTGCTTATAATAAAATTCGGGGGTAAAGTATCATCTAGGTAAACAGTCTCTTATTAACAACTAGTATGTATAAACAAATCCATGTATGTAAATGTTCATGAATATTAATGACCATGTAAAATGTGTATGGAAAATGTAATTCCATTTAGCAGCAAAATAATTATTCTCCTTGCAGTTTTCTTGGAGTTTTCAGGTTTCTTTCTTTCAGAACTTTCTGTCTTCATCTTCCAACTGAAAGACTTTCTACTGCACAAAACATAGCTGCAAAAAAACTGGGGCATGTAACGTGTTCCTGAGCTTAGCAAGAAGCCCCCTTTGAATAATGAATCATTACCCTTTTAAAGTACAGTGTTAGGGGTTTTAAGAACAATCACAAATAGGAAAAAGGAGTATGTTGAACTATTCCATAGGTACAGTATTTTGAGGACATGTGACTTTCTTTTAATGATCATTATTATAATAATGAAAGACCTCAGGCTTAGTGCTTACCAGGATTCATAACACCCAAAACCACCCAGTAATATTGCAGTTTCAGTGTGAGTTCCAGTTTCTTCCCTTCTCTAACAAAATCTTTGTCTCATGCTTTGATTCTTTTGACTGCTTTTCAAAGTGAGGATAGTGATATTAGCAATTTCCTAAAGGACAAAATATGAAAACCTGCAGACTGAGTCAACCATTAATAAGTGGGTTCTGAAACTGCGGCAACTGAGGCCTCTGGTGGGTGAGTTTGGGCTACAAAAGTTTGCCTTAAAGATGGCAAAACGAAAGGCCAGTAAGTCTTTAATGACTTTCTGGAGCACATTTAAATACAATAAGCTGATCTCCTTCATAAGCCAACTCCCTGCAAGGGTGTCATAATATCATATACACTAAAAACTGGGAGAAAAAGCTGGACACAAGGAAGACTCCAGAAAACATTCTCCATCTTCCTCCATCAGTGCTACTTGGCTGTGTTGTTTTGGTTCCCATTCTACAAATTCAGCTGTAGATATTCTTGTTCTCGACGGTATAGATGATGTTAGTCATGACATGCCATAAATATCACCACAAAACCAAAACTGATAAGCAAATTAGAAGTTTCTTTCTAAAGGTAAGGCTATTTCATTTATAACTGATATATTTACAATGAATATTTTCTTCACTTGCCTCCATGCTTTTCCATAGCCTCTTCCCCAGTTTTCTCCTAAGCATCATTGGCCTTACCAAAGTATCAATAATTCAATACATCCCAGGAGGCAGGATTCAGGAGTCCTGGGAGTGTAATGAGTTTTTAAATAACCATTAAAAATCATAAAAGCAATATGTTTTAACATTTTTTAAAAATTATTATACTTTATTTGAGCATGCAGGTGTGCATACCACATAGAGGATCAGAGGGCAATTTGCAGAGTTGGCCCTCTCCTTCCACCCTGTGGTACCTGGGGAATCTAGGGTCCTCAAGTCAGAGGGAAGAGACTTTACCTGCTGAGTCATCTCACCAGCCCAAGTATTTTCTACTTGTTAACACTTCAGAGGTGAAATCAGAGCAGGGAAAGGGAATGGATTCCAGTTTACAGAAATGATCTTGCAGGAGTTCATACCCAGGGTTCTCCAGACTCTAGGGCAACAAAGCGTCCCTGCTCTAATCAGATGCCTGTTCAGAGGAATAGAACCTTGACATGTATCCCTTTGCCTCCCTGCAACTCCTGGCTCCCTTAAAGTAAAAAGACCTTTGAACTTCTCTCACGCCTCTGCTTGACATCCAACTCATAAGGGCACAACAATCACAGTGGATTTCCAGTTAATCATGAAACATGTAAAATGTCAGCCTCCAGCCGACAGTTTAGCTCAGCCACTTCGTGAAATGGCCCCACATCTTGCTTACCTTCCACCAGGGAGGTGAGTAACGTGACATTTGCTGCCTTGCGCCTGCCCGCGGGTAAATTCAAACCGATTTTTTCTAGCCTTTCTCGCAAAGATCTCCCCCCATTTTTCGATTTGGCTCTGGAATTGCAAGAATTAACATTCTGATTAACCTCAGAGTGTTCCTGAAACAAAGTTTAGATTTAGCAATCTAAAGCCCAGTGGAGCTTGAAGAGGTTTTAACTTGAGGTTAGCACTCCCCCCTCCTTCTTTTTGGTTATTTGCTGATGGTTTGCTGAGGTTTGCTTAATTTCTGCAATACAGAGCATAAAAAAATGGAGTCAACTTCTTCTTCTTCTTCTTCTTTTTTAATCTTGTAAGGGAAAAAAAATGGTACCAGATGGAAATAATTAGGGTGTAAGCTGTGGGTTCAGAGAAGGTAAAAATTTTGCATGCACATGCCCATGTACTGGCCAGTGAGGAAAGCAGAATCCAAGCAAGGAAAAAAAAATGTGGGGGTAGGGTGGGTGAAAAAGTTCTTCTAGAAACAGGGAAACAGGTGAGTTTAAAGGAAGAGTCAAAAATAGCTACATAATGAATGAAGAGGTCTTAGAAAGGCGTAGAAGACTAAAATTTGTAATTAATATTCATCATCATAACATTCCCATCCTGAAGCTCAAAAAAACCTCAGTTGAAAACTGAGCAGAGCTAGGACAGAAGATTCATCTTAAGAAAGTTCACATCAATACCCTGAGTTTCTCCCAAGGCGCTGTGTGTGCTCTAAGGTCTGAACAAAAATAAGAGAAAACTCCAGTCATTGTTTATGAACCCCATTGCTGTACTCTTTGGACAGCCACTTTTAGGAAAGAAAGGGACAGTGAACACCTAAAAGGGGATTAGAATATTTGTCACATGCAAAGTAACTTCCTTATCAGGGATAGTGCCAAGGGTCCAGGTGTTGACAAGGACTATTTGCAGAGAATATAAATCTTAAAACGATAGTATTTATTCCTCCATTTTTATCAGAAGAAGTCAATCCATGGGTTGTAATATTGGAGAGCAACCACATAGCCCCAAGTAATGACCATTACGAGTTATAAAGCAGCTTTAGTGTGAGAGGTGATATTATTGAAGGAAGAAGGTCACAGAGCTAGAAAAGAGTTTTTCAAAATACGGGGTACAATGTTAGTGCCCTGGTAGACAGACCAATTTAGCTGCTCTCCATTTGCATTTAAAACTAGTAAAACAGAGTATTTGGAAGGCACGACGGGAATTGTTTAATCAAATTTCTATTTTAGATGAGTTTGTGTAATGGGGAAGTGAGGGTCTGGGCTGCAATCAGGCTAGAGAATGCCCTAGGCGTGAGCTGGGGGTAATCTGGAGCCAGGCAGGAAAGAGGAAGGTTCCTAGGCTTCAAGGGATGCTGCACATGCGCGGTGCGGCCCTGCCCTCAGGGGTGTGGGTGCGAGGACCGCCGCTTTAGTGAGCCAGACTCCCGACACGTGGAGGCCACAACCGCCCACTGGTGCAGCACAGGAACTGCGCTCAGTCTCCTGGTTGCTAGGTAACCGCGTTGGCTTTTTCTCCTTCAGTCTCCACATCAGTTTTCTCCTCCACTGATAGAAATTCAGTTTGGGGTGTTTTACCTTCTGAGGACGCCGCCAAGGAGAGAAGCATTGAGGCATTCGGGGGGCGAGAGCCGTCTCTGAACTTCTCCCACAGTTACTTTGTACTTGGAAGTTGAACTGAGCAGAGATAAACGGCCTGGGACTGAGCAAAATACTTCGCCGGTGTTGACAGACATGCCTCCCAAGAAGCCATCTTTATTCATCATTAGAGAAGTCACAGATTTGGGAGGGACAGGAACTAGAGAGAGAGATGAGAGAGAGAGAAAAAAAAAGAGAAAAAAAAAACAAAAAAAAAAACAAGTTGCCATAAAGGTGACCGGGTTTCAAACCTACTGACTGACAGAACATGTCACTGTGTGACGTCACAGGACAGCCGCCAAGTGGAAAGCGAGGGGAAGGCGCCCGCTCCAGTGGGGCTGTTGTGTGTTCAGAGTGCTGTGACCCGACAGTAATTCCACTGCCACTCCCCTAGAAACTTACCCCAGAGGAGAGGACACGGGTGACACTTGCCAAAGTCCTGCTCACCACAGAATCTGGGATGCATTCAACCCAAAGCTTGGACTTGAAACTACGCAAAACCCTATTTAATCACACGCTGCCGGTGTGACCTTGGACTCTTCACTGCACTCTTAGTCTCGGTTTTCTCATCTGCCTCCTGGAAGATAATACTGTTTCCTTTGGTGTGAAGTTGAAGATCATTCGCTGAGATAAAATGTTGATACCAATGATCTTCATAGAAACACCTCTTGGACTGGACTATGGTCCAGTGTGATCTGCGGGCATCACTAAAGATGAGGGGGCTGGGCCCCTCCAGGCCAAGAACAGGCAAACCATACCTTTGAGCTGAGAGGTTGCTCCCCACCCCCCAAGAGCTGCTCCTCTCCTGAAAATAAGCTCTATTCTTTGCTACAGAAACACAACAGCAGATTCGTTTAGAAATGAACCCAAATGCTCATTTACAGTGAAAGCAACTCATGGGTGATGTGAATTTGGTTTACAAATAAAGCACAGGTTGGCAATTGTTTGGAGCAGTTATGATTTACAACAGGTGCCCTGATCAATCAACCAATCACTGTAATTCATATGAGTGGGGGCTGTCTTGCTTTGCCCCAGTTGTTTCATTCGGCAAGTAATTGATAACAAACCACACTCAAGGTATGTTTTATGCAGAAGTTAATAAGAGCTGACAGCTGGTTGCCACTGCTACCCTAGTGCATTCAGCCTCTCCAGCCTGTATTTCTGTTTAATTGTGTTTCAGTGTCATCTGCATGTCAGGAAGAGACTGTGCTGAGTGGAAGGCTGGGGAATGAGGAACAGTGAACAGTCAACTTCTCAGGTCCCTGGAAGTCTTGATCCTTGGACTTCTGATTTCTACTGCATCTTATCTTCTTCCATAGGTGTATGAAGCACTAAGTCTTCAGAGTATTTGTTGACAGGGAATTTATTGAAACATACATTTAGAGTGGGAAAAAGAAGTTTCCACATCTAACTTTCTGATGAACTGACAGGAAAAGACATGCTCTTTCTGCTGTATGGGTTCTGGAATTTTATATGTGAGAAGAGGTGTAAAGCCTCTCTTCTGTGGAGCAGATTAAACAATGAAGCATTTCTGTTGTTTACTCTTTCATCACAGATTCCAACATTCAGACTCTATAATTATTGGGAGAAATTCCTAAAAGCTAGATATCTATGAGTTTAATCTGGCCCTTTACAAGCACCTTGTAGAATAATCTTTCCTTGGGGAACTGAATTTGGACACTAAAACACTTTCTTCTGCTACTTTTTGATACACGGACGACAACTGCTACACCTGCCATTGATGCTCAAGACCTGTTCTAGCTGGAGGAATGGTATTAGGTAACACAGTGGATCTTCTACACTATCCTGGATGAGGGACAGGGTACACAGTTGACTTTGATTTTCTGGTCCCCTCCCTCATATTTTCATTAGTGATACTGCTTCACATTTAAAATCAAAGCAAGGAAAAGACAAAATATGTTTATCAGACATGGGCAAAACCTATTTAACAAGTCATTTTTTAAATGGTGATGGGATGAAAACAACATTTAGTTCTTGTACATAATATACACATATATTTAAATATCCTCGTTTTACAGAATTTCCAATGACCATATTTCAGATTCATATTCATCTACAATTTATGCTAATGGGAATTGATATGTTAATTTTGAGAGGTACCCTAAATATAGACAGACAACCCATTGCAGTTTGGACATGAGAACTATAGAAATAAGTTATATAAAAATCTCATTTTCGACACAGCATTATACTTAAGACATTTTAACAACAAAATAACTCCACAAAATTGAAGATTACTAAGAAGGCTCCTTTTCCTCCCTTCCACCAAATAGCCAGTATCTTCTAAGCATTAGTAGTGTCCCTGCTTTTCTGATTCCCAGATACCAAATTTCTTGAAAACTCAGGCCTTAGGAGAGACTTTATAACCTGTCCTTTAATTTTACTGTTGTTGATTGTCTGATTTACCTCCTAAGAGCTGCTGCTTTTAGGGACTGTGTGTCCTTTCCTGCCCTGGGCTATACCTCTCAGCATATACTTATCAGCTAAAGACCCCCTGTGCAGTCAGCTTGTATGGCACACTGTCTTGTGGAAGGTTGCCTCCTCCTCAAAAACTCCCACAGACAAGATTAAGGTGCTTTAAAGTGTATTTCCATATCCTCAGGTTCTAACAGGAACTCATGTTCCCTACCCCAAATCTAGCCCTGAGTCCCCAGACCAAACCCCACTTATTTCTCTTTCCAGCTTTTATTCAGGTCCCTAACTTCCTGATCATCTACTGTCCCCTTCACCTCTACACCTGCTTAGCTCAGCTGATTAACTCCGTATTTTATTCCCTTTGTCTTTCCCCTTCTGCTCTCTACCAGCTTATCAATAAACCCAGAGAGCAACAGGGCCCGGTTGGTTTGTTAGTAATTATGTGCACGCTGTTCCTGCTCACGGAACCCAGAGATGACTGAGATAGGTTTAAAGCGACAGCAGGAAATGGTAAGGAAATGGAGCATAGCAAGACTCAGCATGAAGCTTTTGGTTCTTTACATGTTTACAATTTTCTGTGCATGCATAAAAAGTAGCATTTCCCCCTCTTCAGTTCTTGGTTGGTAAAGCCAACTTCTAGAAGTAACACCCACAAAACTTACTCCTTTTCTTTTTTATGAATTATTCCAGGAAAGGAAATAAGGCATTCACAAATAGATTAATTTCCTTATAGTGAATGGAGTCTTAAGAGAAAGAAAGGGAAATGATTAGAGAAAAATATTATTCATTAGAGAGCTATATAGAGATTAATGGGCTAGTACTTTATTTATATTTTTAAAACATACTTCAGTCTGACATTTCACCTTTGAGAAAATTTGTGTTTGACAGGACCTGTGTTGGGAAGAGGGGAAGGAATGAACCTGCTTTACACATTAAAGGGATAAGTCTCCTGGAAGAAACTTTGACTTAGCTATGTAGACTACATTGGGAAGCAACCAATAGATTCAGCATTAAATTAGAGTGACCCCTAAAAGTGAAATAGTGACCTCTCACCAGCAGAAAACCCATCTCTTGAATTTACATATTTTTTTTCATTTACCTGTGTCTAAATTTTTTTCTACATGTAAAGCAGGTGTATAAATGTGGGCACTGAAAGTGTGATAAGAAGAATCATGTGTGTGTGTGTGTGTATGTATGTATGTATGTATGTATGCATTTATGTATGTATGTATGTATGTATCTCCCATCTCCCACAAATACACCAAGTATTTAGGAACAGTGTCTGAGAATCTGAATTGGGACTCCTTCCTCTCTTAGTGTGTCATTGGACCTTGAGAAAGACATTCATCTCCAGTCTGAGCACTTGCAGGCTCCATACTTGGGGTAATGGAAAGGATGTCTGATCTTTCCAGTTTTGAAATTCTGGGGATTCTGGTGATTCCCTGCATGACTAGAAGCAATCTCTGGTTCTCCAGGGTATAAATAGCTATTGCTATTCCAACCTTCTGGAAATGCAAACTTTTTTGAAAGGAAACTCAAACCTTTAGGGGTTTCTAACAGACTCATGGTGCTTCTAGGCAAAGAAAGAAGAATCTCAGAAGAACCCACTAGAATTGAGAATTGGCCATTTTTAATTCCTCTTCCCTAAGAACATATGAGAGTGTTTGTGTGGGGAAGGGGCCAGAACTAACGGGAAATAGTGGAAGAGAAGAGAGGTTGAACTAAAACTAACCAAACAGGATATCCTTAAGACCAATAAAAAATGCCCCACAGTCACAGAATTTGAACCTTGGACTCAAGCCTCAATAGTCTTTCCAAGAAATCCCAACATATTTTCTGCTGCCTAATGGTCAAACGGATTGCATACTGGTCTCTGATTGCTCAAAACCCTTCTTCTTCAAGCCTAGGTGCACCTTATAAGTTAGGCCATGGGAAGGTGACAGTGATCATTTATGTACTCGCATAGACACACACAAACACACACACACACACACACACACACACACACACACCCTGCCCCACCCAGATTCCTAATCTTAATGGAACTGGGAGTTAAGAATGATTTTTTAATGTCTCGTTGGATTTTTAGACTGCTAATGTACCGAATCCTTCTCATTATTACTTTATTGATTGCTCATTGACCAGCTCCCTTCAAATCGTATTAACCACCCTCTGCCGATTTAGATTAGGAGAGTTTAAAAAGCACCTTTCATTACTCCCCCCTCCCCAACTCCTGCCACAGAGTTGAGACTAGGCAGCTTAATGGGAGCTCTAATGGGGCAGCTAAGAGGAGAGGGGCCACGGTCCCTGCCGATTGCATTAATAGCTCAAAGGGGGCCAATACAGAAAATTAGCCTTAAACGAGCTCTGGAGATCTTCAAATGAAAGAGCCATTTATCACGCTGGCTACCTTCACTCCACTCGTTTGCTCTCTCTACTGGGAACAACTCATTTCCTCTTAACTAAATTACTTCAGAAATGTCAGCTAAGCCCAGATAGCAACATAACAAGGAGGGAGTCTATAATCTATTGGGTGATATCAATACGGGAGAAAAATAAGATGGATTAAATTTTAGGAGGGGCCATGTCATAATGGGATAGAAAGACACAATGATAGAAAAATACATCTTTTATTGACTACATTGTTAGGCTTCATAAACAGGGGCAAGAGATACATAAACCTGGGCCAATTGATGACATTTTACAAATGAGGTATAATTTTTAAAAAACTGTCAGATGCTGATTAGAAAACAAGCAACTAAGTCCTATGCCAAGTTGTTGAAACTTAGAATATTCAGTTCAGAAAACTTTCTTGCCTCTCTGGGAAAGAAAATCTCATGGTGATGGGGATAGGCAAAGATGGGGGAGTAAAGGCAGGGAAAGGAACTAGTGAACCCATAACTTAAGTGCTTATGGTAGGTTAAAAGAGGTCAGATATCTGTCCATATTTTTCCTGTGGCTTTTAAAATAGAAAATTATCTTTTTCATGTAAGTAAGCAAAATTTCAAGTATCACATAGTGGAATTGACCTTCATATGTATACCATTCTCCCTCAATCAATTAAAACGACTAGGATATTAATCTTCAGTGTTTTAAGCTGTGCATGTTTCTTAAAGGCTTTTGGAGAAAACATCCTCCAGTGCTTTAGAAAACAGAGCAAGGAACCTTAATCAACTTCCCTTCTCTTTATTCCTGGAAACAACATGCATAAATATTCACATTTCTCTGCAAACTTATCTAAACACTTAGACCAATGCATCCCACATCCAAGAAAAAATTTGAACTCCATTTTGGTAGGCAAGTTAAGTTCCAAATAGTTTTATTGGCCTGACGATTAATAACATTTCTGATTGGTCATTTGTTGGGCAGATCCCTCTGTCAGCCAAATGTTGCTAGGATACAGAACCTAGAGCTAAATGGTTCTAGCTTTCCATGAAAAAGGAGTGGGGGGGGGATTAAAACAAGAACAACAAAAGAAGGAACAGAGAAACTCCTCCTTCACCCCACCCCAATCAACCAGCAATTAACCAAAAGAGAACCCCCCCAGAGGAAATGGTGAAAGTGAGCTGTCAACACTAGCCCCCATTCTGAGTATCCCAGCTGAAAATGATGGTATCTAAGAAGAGAGGGAGAAATATTGAGAACAACATTTCTAATAGATAGTTTTCCCACAAACTTTGCCATTTAAAATACTCTTTTCCAAAACCAAAAGGGTACTATTTCTCTGGCCTTTAAAAGAAGAAACTAAAACACACTTTAACCCTGTTTACAATCCTTATCCCACAAGTCCACTACTACCTCAATTGCAGTCTGGTTGGATTACTTTCCAAGCTATCTTTTCCTTTAATTATTTTTGTGAATGTCAACCAGCTTAAGTGAAAAACAAATAAATGACCAAAGCTGGGGATTGTTGACACCAAACATCAGGACTGGCTTTCTCCAACCTCAATAAGAAAGGATTACAGTAGTTACAACTGTGTTTTCTAATACCAGTTCCTGAGATAATTAAAGATTTCACTGTGTACACATTCAAGCTCCTAAATTTGTGGCATGTGAGTGGCATTCAGGCCTTTAAGCAGTCACACTAATCGTCAGACACTCTCTCAGTGACTGTCAGAGAAGAAGAAAAAAAAATTAAGCAGCTGCAATACCCTGAAATGAGTTATTGTAATTACATTTAATTAGTTTAATTAGTTAATTATTTTGCTTACAGCTGTACAAGAGACTGCAAACATTTGTTAATATCACATGCCCTTTAACAGTATGGGGTGATTCCATAGTCACAGTAAATCATGAGTGCATATGTAGGAAGATTTAGATATGTGCATAGTCTGTCTCAGACTCTCAGGATGAGCATATTTAGCAAAACATTTGGCACAATTAAAAAAATAATAAAAAGAAACAACTCATAAAACACAGAGAACTGGGAACAAAATTACTACCCCAAAATCCAAACAAAAACAAGGAAAAGAAACGTATCTCAATGGCACACAATTTAAATGTAGCCAACTCCAAATATCAACGAAATAATTACTAATTACAGCACATTCTTGAAGTCAGTATTTCCCAGCCAATTATACACATGATGATAATTTGGTTATGTAAGATAAATTTAGAATGGCTACCATGTACATTATGAGAAAAATGGCAATTTTCTGTGTCCCTGTGTTTCTCCAATTCCTGTTTCTGGCTGCAGTTTTCACTCTGCTTGGTTCCATTTCCTTTTTCCTAACATGCCCTTTTACCTAGTCTGACAGCCACTGTACTGATGAGAACAGACATTTGTATGATATAAAATAATGATTTCCCCCAAAGTGAAAGCTCATCTTAAAGAAATTAAAACACAGGAAAACTTTGCTTACTTTTGGGAGGAATAATCCATACCTTTTTTAATGACAGACTGGTCCAATAGATTCATGCCGCTATTATTGGCATCTTCAACTGACTGTGAATATAAAAACATCACCATTCAATTGACTGGATATTAAAGAACTGCACACATAAATCATGCCATTCTATACTGAAGTTTCTGTTATTTCCATTTATATTAATTCACAAAGGGAGGTTTTATTATTATCCTTATTATCTCCAAATCGACATAGAAATGAAATTCACACAAATATATACATTCTTCCAATGAAGAAAGGGAAAATAGAATCTGTGAGAGACATCTGGGATGTGATATTGGCTCTGTTCCTGTCTGAAACACAGATATTACATAGATATATAAACCTTTATATTATTTGCCCATATGAATTGTGAAAAGTGGCAACAGCTGAAAGATTTTCACCAATATCAGTTAAGAGTAATTTTGGTTTTCCATTCTGTCCCAGTGCATCTTAACCCCAGAGCCATTTTACAAATACATAATCGTTTACATTATGGGATTTTAATTAAAGTCTGAGCAATTTGGATTGGAATGCAAACAGTAACACATAGGAACATGTTTGCAAGCTTTCAAGACCGCACACCCACTGAAGTCCACATACATTTCTGTTAGATCTGAGTTTCTTACTGCACAGTGACAGTCCCTGGAGGAGCCTGTGCAACATACTCCCCCTCCCAACTATGCTGGTTCTGTACCTCAGCAAGGCACACACCTGTTAGGTAGGCAGTAACTACAGATACACACACACACACACACACACACACACACACACACACATACACGAGGATTGGGTCCTCCCGACCAGCACCTAGGTAATCATAAGGAACATTAATCTTCTTTGCTATAGTATTATCCCAGAGAGGGGAAGCCTCAACTCAGTATTGGCAATACTTCTGAGGGAAATAATTGTTGGAGCAAGTTCCTTACTGTACGGGTAGCATAGACACTGGTGTTCTGGCTGTGCATCCCAGGGCATCCAAAAGCAGATTCTCTTCTGGCCCTCCTCACTCCCAAATGAAAATGCATGCTAAGTCTTTCTGAATTGTTCAACTGCTCCCCTTGATCCTTTGGGACTTATGTTCGGATCAATTTGTCACCTATTCTCTAAAAAGGCTTGAGAGCAAGTTATTTACCCAGTACTTCCTACCGTTTATTCACATTGCATCCCCAGACAGGGTGCTTGTTCATCACAAGAAAGAAAAGACTGTCTATTCCAAACAAGCATGGCTTGAAAGATAAGATGATCTAACCATCCGGGATATGAGCATTTGTTTCTTTTCATTTGTAAGAGTCACTCTTCTGCTCCTACAAAGCTGAAGGAAAATGTTTCTCCACTAGAACTGTTTTCTATGTTGCAAGCTGCCAAACACATCTTAAGGAATAGTAAAGAATCAGTTTTAAAAACATTTCATAAAACTTGCTCATAAGTTCTCAGGGGAACCCATCACCTACACACAGACATGCTCACACTGGATTCATGCTTTTCTAAGATCATTTATCTGTTGACAATGGCTCTGGGTCCTCCCAGGACAGAAATATTCACTTTTGTTTGTGGGAACAGAACCAGTCACTTAGGGGCCTGGACCCGTGGATCCCCCCACACCTCACCCTCATGTTGGTGCGCAAATATGTATCTACGCCTCATCAGCGACGTGGGGTAGTTGTGGTAGTTAATGAGAAGGCTCTTGTCTGATTTTCTATCTAATTACGGCCGCCTGCTGGGTTTTTGTACAGGATATTCACGCAGCATGCTGGCGCTTAATCGTCACAGGGAGGATCGTAAAGATTTAATTAGGACTGCATGCGGAAGCGCAGAAAAACAACTCAGACTCATAATTACTAGACTTCTTTAGTTAAAAGTGATACCAGGGGTTGCTTTAAGACACAAGGGTGTGTTTGGGTGTGTTTGAGTGTGTGTGTGTATGTGTGTGTGTTTGGGGGGGGAGATTTGCTTAACAGCTTTATATGTTTGTACTCATGGGTGGTAGAGGTGATGGGAGGTTAGAGAGCCAAGCTGTGAGGAACAAGCCTACATGGCAACTAAACAAATCTCCAGCTAGGTGTCCTTTCATTCTTTTCTGTAGCCATTTTTTCCCCTGAGTTTCTAACACTGTCCCCCCTCCCCAGTGGGTGAAATGTAGCATACCCGGAACCCAGACAGTGATCTGCTAGTTTAATAGCCCCTGTGAGTAAATTGAAATAGAAATTGACAGGGTTTTATAGTTTCATTTAAAAAAATATTAGAAGCATTTGGTTAATTAGCTCTCCTTTTCTCTCACAGGGCTGCGGCCTCATGAGTGTGCCTCTGGGTCACATGAAATCACACCAAGCCTCGACCCACAGGCCTAGGCATCATCCTCTTGTCTGTCTGGTCTGTGGCTTCAATCTTCCTGAACACAAACCCACTAGACTTTTGAGAGTGAGTAAGTGACTCTTGAGTTCCAGGTCAAGACACTTGTCCATTCTTGAGACTACAAGGGTGCGGCCAAACCATTGAGTCTGTTGCTGCGCTGAGTGTAGAAACTGGATTTCCTGTATGACTTTGGCTGGTGCACTCTAGATCACTAACTTGGAAATGAATCCTCCCTGGACCAGCTGGTCAATTGCAATCTCTGAGAGTATACCTTCTCCTTTCCCACCTCATAACGACCTCACCCTGGCCTGAGGAGAGCTATCGCTGGGACAGTGCACAGACCATCATCATGCAGGTTGTTTCACTGCTGAGGCTGGCACAGGATGTATTTCCTTACACTTAGGGTTGTTCCCAGAAAATCCCACAGGCCTTCGGGTTTTCCAGGCTACCAGCTGGAGGAAGAAGAGGCAGGCAGGGAAAGCTCTCTCCCCCTGCAGTCTCTATGTACAACAGCAATAGCTCAGCCTCCGTGCTGCTGCGTTCATACACTTTCAGTTCTTTTCTGGCCTTGTTTTGCCTTCTCCCTTTGCATTTTGCTAAATATTTAAAACTTCTTTACAATTCTGCCTTAAAAAAAAAAAAAACATTCTAAAACCAAAGAAATTTGCTCCCTCTTTTTGGGAGAAATTCCTAGGTTCAGTTTCCAGAGTCCATGGGCCTGGCCTACTGTAGGGTGCAGGGCGGTGGTGGTGAAGGTAGTGTTAGTCTCACCAGCAGTAATGGTAATGTTAATGCGTTGATCCACTTCCATTATCCAGCACTTTGAACCATACTCAGAAAGGTTAATTTAAAAACTTTCCCCCCCAGACACATATTACTCGAATGCATTAAAAAACTATTAAATATTTCCTTTCTTACATGATATTCTGAAATGAGCAGTACCTCCAGCCAAGCATAGTTAAGCTCAGTTAAGTCAACAAAACCATCATTCTTACTACTATGGGAGAATTCAGCACTACAAGTCAGGTGATTTCATTTTCTCTTCTTTTTTAATAACGAGCTTCTTTTAAAACAATAAACCATCACCAACCACATAAAAATGGCATTTGATGTTGTCACCACATTTTTATTGTTTTTTAAAAAATGGTTTTTCCAGCGAAGTAAAGAATGATTTGCCTTCCCTTTTCTCTTTCCCATTTAGTTTTTCTTTGCTTCAGAGGCATGTCTAAACTGATTCATAACAAATACAACCGTGTCAATGATACAAAGTGTCAATTAAATGCTTTCCAACTATATTTATCTTTTCTGGAGACTCTTTAAATTAGGAGGGGGGGGGAGACCTGTTCCCACTCACCCTGACAGTATTTAGGAATCTTTTCTTTGATGTTTCTTTGTTTAGTTTAACCAAGTATTCTCATCCAAATCGGCCTCCTTTGTGTTGGTTGATGATGGGATAGTGGGTGGGTAAGGGGGAGTGATTTGAGCCTTTTGTTTTAAGAAATAAACATATGGTGCCTCCTCAGCTAGGGTGGTAGAGGTGGAAAGAGGAGAAGGTATGCACCTAGCATGCAGAGCTTACTGACAAAGCTGAAGAGGAAGGTGGAAACACATTGTTTCACAGATACTTAAATGGACCCCAGAGAGAAGAAATCTTCCACATGCTATCTGTCCCTATGAATATTCAAGATGAATTGTGGCTTTCTGGGTCTGTCCTCTACAAATGTCCAGTTGTCAGGTGATGGAACTCTACTTTGGAAAGGAGCACTGAGGGTTTTTGAAGCATTCAGAACAAGACCAGCCTTAAAAAAAACACAGCTAAGACTCTCTTCAGAGTGCACAATGTCATGCTTAGCACAAGCTTTGCAAATCCTGAGAGAACACCCAGAGCTTTCAGAGGCCCTGGAACTTTCCTGGTCAGAGCCTTTTCCTCTAAACAAACAGCACTTTACCTGCTAAGTCAGTGGGACAGACTCACTGTGGGGCATACAAGGTACCATGCTTGCTCACACAGAGCAAGAGAGAATATGTCAAAGTTCAGTAGCTGAGACAACACAAAAACATTAACCTTGATTGCAATGACTGTAGCCTATCAACAAACATATTTCTTCTTTCCTGACTTCATTTCTAGCCCTTCTGTCATTCACAACTGGATCTCTGAAAATTCTCACTTAGTAGCTATGCAGGCGCACACACAAATTTGTCCCTTCCACTCGGTCGCGTTCTAAAAGTGACAACTTCCCCCAAAGACAAGGCCACCCTTCCCTCTTTCCTCCCCTCTCCTTTGGGCATTCTTCCTTTGTTATCTTTAATGTTTGTTTTTGTTTGTTTGGGGTTACCTGGACGTCTTCCATGCCGGGATGCCCAAGGCCGTGCAATGAAAGGCTGTCGCCCATGCCGGCGTCCAGGCCGTGGTGCGCCGAGTGTAGCAGCACGTCCGGCCGCCGGACCGAATGGTAGTCCCTCCGGGGGTCAAGGCCCGAGAGCTGGGGCAAAGCAGCCCGGGGCTGGGGCAGGAGAGAGCCGGCTTCCGAACCCACTTCTTGCCGCTGCCGTTGCCCCCAAGGATGTTGTTGGGGCTGATGCAGAGGGTTCAGGGAGTAGGGGTCGTTGACGTGGGAGTAGGGGTCTTGGCTCTGGTGGTAGGGTAGCGGCTGATAGGGGGGCGGGAAATAGGGTGGCTGGAAGTCCGAGGACGGGGTGTGGGACAGCGGCGGAGCGCTCGAGTAGGGTCCTTGGGACACCGAGCCCAGCTGAGAAAGCCTCGAGCTGTGGCTTGGGACACCATCGTGCCGGTCCTGGGAAGAGAGAAAAGAGAGAAGAAGAGAGAGAAGTAGGCAAGGAGAGGAGAGGAGAGGAGAGGAGAGGGAGAGAGAGAGAGAGAGAGAGAGAGAGAGAGAGAGAGAGAGAGAGAGAGAGATAGGCTTCTGTGCTTCTGTATAACTTTTCGAGATAGGAAAGCTAGAGGCCCAAAACCTTAGACCCCAAGCTGACTCAGGGCCACATGATAACATGATAAAATTTCAACAATTCTACACAGGAAGTTTCCTTTCAATGGCACTTTTTAAAAAGAATGACCACCCACTACCCGACCTCTGACTTCTTTTGGGAATGCAAAGCAGGCAAGGGGGTAAAGCAAAGGAAATGTGTATGGCCTGAGATGCTCAATGCTTTATTTAAAATGTAAGACTCTTATGAACAGTGTGTTTGCTCCTGTGTTTCCCCTTTTAATTTTTCCAAAGATCCAATGCATAACAAATAAAACTTCCCAAAATGTGCTGTGGTGCTTGCTACTCCTGTTTAAAAACCAGCTTCTGTCTTCACTGACAGTGTAGCTGACTGACCTCTGCCACCAGGAGATTCCCAGAGCTGGAAGGAATCTGCCTGAATGAGGATCCAGTCACCTCTCCCTCCTCAAGAGGAATGAAATAACTTAAACAGTGCTTGATTGAAATGGATCTCCTCCGAAATCATACCCTAAGCCCATGCTAAATTGAGTTGTGGTTTGCAAGAGTTATTTCTAGGCTTGCTTTCTAGATCACATGCTGTTATACCTCAGGGTGTTAAAATGAAGGACCTGAAGTTGGGGCAGAAAAAGATAACCCTTACAACTTATTATCAGTCCTCTCTGGAGTGTGTAAGTCAAAGGAGGAGAAGGGGAAGTGCAGGCATGTTGTCCCATCCTTTGTGGAAATGTCATGATAAAGTCCCCTAGGTTCTTTCTGTAGAAATTGTCACCTAAATTTCCAAACTGCATTATCAAATAAAAAGTTTTTAGGTTCAGCCCCCCCCCTCAGCCCCCCCCCCAGCTGACTCGTGGAGCTCAGACGGAGAACACACAATGCAGAAAAAAGCAGCTGCAACCTAGTTCAATCACAGTGCTAAATTACCAAGCCAAAGGCACTCCAAGGAAGACAGAGACCGAGGGAGACACACACACAGAGATGCAGAGACAGCGAGATGGTGAGAGGAAAGAGCATGCAGTTCTGGTACAATGTGAATCCGAACTCACCATGGATGAATAGGTGTGGACTAACATCTGGAAAAAAAAGCCTCGTTACTGCTCAAAATCAAACAACGAATTTTTAAAAATCAAGGAGTCCAGCAGAGAAGTGTGCTGGACACAAGAACCGAGCTTGAGGTGTTTCCAGGACAAGCCATCAAAAAAGAAAAAAAAAAAAAAGCCCTCTCCAACAAGATTGGAGATGCCTGTCACACATAGACAGAACTGGTCATCTGTCTCTCACTTTTTTTTTTTTTTTTTTTTTGGCCTCTTTTCTTCTGCCGGTTCTTTGGGGCTCCAGATACAGTCCTCTTCCACCCGAAGCTGGGCTCAGACTGCTCCCGTGCCCCTTCCTCCCACTGCTTGCCTACACCGCCTCATAATAATTGATATTCATGACTATTAATATTACACGAGTACTTTAAAGGGAGAATGGAGGACAAATGGAGCGTGAAGCAGCAGCTAGCACAGAGCTCCTCGACTATTGTAAATGACGTTCATTCAGTGGAGAATTACTAGATGTAATCAGACGAGGGGGCTGGCAAAGGCAGACTGGGGAAAAAGTTTAGCAGGAAAGAGGCAGAACTTCAATTAACTGAGCTGGGACACTTGTAAGGCAGCCTGTGCTCTGTGGACTAGGCAGTGTCGGGGAGCAGTGCTGGGGCTCCCAGAGAATGTAGGTGTCCTACTATGGAGAAGACTCTCCCAATGGGAGAAAGTGATTGCCCTGGATGTTTGGTGTGTAGATTAAAAAGAGAAACTAGAAAGGCACTGCCTGGTCATCTGGAGGAGGAGAGAACAGTAAATTGGTGGGCCCGGTTGTTTACTGTGAAGTTCCAAGACTTTTTGTCAATAAAGAGGGTTATGCTTATTTTTTTTAAAGGATGGAGGAGAGATAGGGGCTTTCTGAACACCGGGCAGCACTCTCCAGTCTAGCACTTACAGCCTGTGATTCTAACCTCGATTTAAAATATATGCAATCGATCTACAAGTACACTAAACTTATCCTTTCCAGGCAAAGCCAGGGGCAACAGAAAATCTTTGGGGATGTTTCAGGAACCCGTTCAACTGGCCTGACTGCCATTTCTGTTAAAGTTCAACCTTAGTCCAGACTTAAATAGACTCCTTCCACCGCGCCGAGAGCGGGTTCTCCGGGCTTGGGAGCAGAAAATTTAGGCAGCCAGGAACAGTATTTTTCCCTCTCTCCCTCTCCCTCTCTCTCTCCCACTCCCTCTCCCTCTCTTCCTCTTTCTCCCTCTCTCCCTCTCCTTCCTCTTTCCTCTCTTCTCCCTCTCTTCCTTCCACTCTCCCTCCTTTTCTGTCCTCCCCTTCTTTTCTCTGCCCCTTCTCACTTCCACTCCACCCCTCCTTCTCTTCTCCCTCCCCCCCCATTTAGCAGTTTACTTTTCATAATCAAAGAAGGAGCGTTACTCTGATTACTTTAATCCCTCTATGTATACTCAGAGCTATTTACACCGCGGCCCCAGCCCCGCCAGTGCGCCATGGGTGATGTATTCTTTAGCATAGTTTAATGCCCTGGACTTGAACATTATCCCGCCTGTTAAGGAAAGAAAAGGAGGCAGAACCGAAGCAAACCCCACCAGGCCGGAGGCGCGGTTCATTACAGTCTATAAACAACCACAAGGAGGAAAGCAAAGCCCGGAGTCACCCCACCGAATTCTCTCTCTCTCTCTCTCTCTCTCTCT